GGACATGTCGGACCGCAGGGTCAGCACGGCTGCTCGCGGAGACCCGGGGATAACGGGACGGCCAGGCGCGGGGCGTGCACGCCGGGGCGCGGACCCGAGCGCAATGCGCACGGGCAAACGGCGCGTGCACCGCCACCTGCGCAGGCGTAGCTCCAACGGCGAAGCCGAGGGGCAGTGTGCATGCGTCTCCCCCGGGCGCTTTGGGGAGAGCCTTGAGATTGCCACCTAGCGGTCAGAGGAGCCGTTGCACCCTTTGGGTTGGAGGGTGGGGCTCTGTCTTACGTTCCTACCAACCAGTTTCTAATTTCAATTTTAGTTTTTAAATTAGGCTTTAAAAATTTGTTTATTTGTATTTATTTTATGTGTATTGAGTGTTTTGCCTGAATGTTTGTAGGTGCACCGTATGCATATAATGCCGAAAGAAGCCAGAAGAGGGCGCTGGATCCTCTGGAATTGGAGTTCTGGGAACCGTGTGCTGGGGAACTGAACTTTTACCAGAGTAGCCAAAGCTCTTAACTTTGGAGCCACGTCTCTAGCCCCTTGGTTGTATTTTTGAAACAGTTTATCACGAAGCCCAGAAAGTCATGGACGACCTTGAAGGACGACTTCCAAAAAGTTGTTCTCTGAACTTTTCCCATGTGCAAACACAAATAAAACAAATGTTAAGAAAATAACTGAGCCAGGCAGTGGTGGCCCAGGCTTTAATCCCAGCACTTGGGAGGCAGAAACAGGTGGATTTCTGTGAGTTTGAGGCCATTCTGGTCTGCAAAGCAAGTTCTAGGACATCCAGGGCTACAAAGAGAAAACCTGTTTAGAAAAACCCCAAAAAAGGAAACAAACAAACAAACAAACAAACAACATTAAGAGAGAGCCGTGTCTCCTGAGGGTCCGCTGCTCACATGTCACTCCAGAGCTCCGGTGAAGCTGTGCAAACAGATGGCATGTCCTGGCAGCCAAGACTGAATGAAGCTTTCCCTTTGCTGGCTTCACTGTTTTCTCTTAGTCAACTATCAACTGTTTTTCTTTGTGGACTCTTTTAAACATCATTCTTTCTCAGAGTCAGATCCCAAGATGAGAAAACACTTTTGGAAACTGCAGGTTTTTTCCCACCCCAGACAGACTGTGCTTGCAGGGTGGTACTGTTGGTTAAATGGCACTCGTGGCTGGCCACCGCCCGTGGTGGCCGGTGGAGGAGAGTGCTGGAGGAGAG